AAAAAAAAAAAGAACTCAGCCAAAACTGGAGAAAATGATCACTATAACTAATTATACAGGGCTCAGTGCCCATAGTACAGTGGTTACAGTGCCAGCCACATACACTGAGGGTGGTGGGTTTGAACCTGGCCCCCGGCCAGCTAAAATAACAGTGCAAATAGCTGGGCATCGTGGCGAGCACCTGTAGTCCCAACTACTTGGGAGGCTGAGGCAAGAGAATCACTTAAGCCCAAGAGTTTGAGGTTGCTATGAGCTATGATGCCATGGCACTCTACCAAGGGTGACATAGTGAGGCTCTGTCTTAAATAAATAAATAAATAAATTATACAGGACAGCTGGAACTAATGACTGGGATTAATTATGAGTACTTTTTTGAATGCTGAACTTCTATGGGTCCTTATCCATATTTTTTCCAAAATAAAGAAGAATGAATATTAGTAATACTTACTTTCCAGTGGCAAATACAGCCAAGCCTATGGTAACGTTCAGCTTTTTGTAATGTTTTTCCAGGGTTGATCTATTGTAAGTTCCTTCCCATATGATTGGAGCAAGCCAGTCAGTTATTGTTATAACATCAGGTCGTGTTCTGTTGAACAAATAATAAAAAAAAATAAGCAGATATCACTTTATTATGATAGTAGAAGTTGTTGTCCACATGCTAGTAGCTGGTAATTGTAGAGTACTTACTATGTGGCAGGCACTGCGCTGAAGTGCTTGTGTAATTCATTTCACCCTTACAATATTCTATAAGGTAAGTACTATTATTATCCTCATTTTCCATAAGAGAAAACTTGGGTGCACATTGAGTGAATTGCTTAGTATTACACAACTAATAAAGTCAGAGTCAGGATTCAAGATCCAGCCAGTCTGGCTTCAGAGTTTATGCTTCAGTCATCACGCTGCACTGTCGTCTGAGCCAGGGGTTATTTTCTTTGAGCTCTGACTGCAGCTTAATTTCAGGGAGCCCAGTGTCTGAACATCTTTCTGATTATTGCCTAAAGCTGAAAATATCCCTGTCTTCTCATGTGTTCTTTTTTCCTCCTTCTCTTTTTATTTTTTTCTCTCCCCTTTTCCTGGAAGATCTAGGA